ATCTTCCATTGTTGCTTAGGATCAAGCCATACACACAGGAAAAAAATCATTAAAGCCTTATTTCCCTCTGAGAGATGAAGAGACTCAAATAATTTTCTGCCAAAACCAGCATAAGTTTTTCCACCAGCTTCAGTGGCCATACAAGCCAAGCACACTGTGAGTGGCAAATGAGTTTCATCAAACTGAACACTAAGCACACTTCTGCTACCAAGAGTGAAAGATATTCTTTGTGTCCTTCTTGACTTGCATCCCACAATATTTGAGCACTGGGCTGAAAAATGGCAGACTCGTTGGAAAATATGAAGAGATCACACGGGAGAAAACAAGCTATGAGTGCACACAATCAGGATGTATGAATTGGCTCATATCACTGAAGTCAGAAATATTCAAGTCATCATGAATAGTTGATGCATAATAGCAATCTAAAAGGCCAACAGCATCTTAAAGTTTACTGAGGCAAGATTGGAGAAGAAAATATCACAGAGAGTCTATACATCCACAGTGATCCAACATGTCAAATATGATACACAATTCTAATTGCCTTAAAGCAAAAGAGATGCCATAGAACTGCAAAAGGAGAGAGGTAATGTATTATTAGGCAGGATTGACTTACCGATGAGGATAGCTCAAACTGGTTACTACACTCAGACACAATACAGTTTAGAAAGGAAAGGGACTGGTATTGAAAATTAAAGAATATGCTTGTTCATTATTTCTCATACCATGGGTAGAACAAACCTAGTGAGATAAATAAGTAGCAAGTTTAAAGTAAGGCAGGGGGGCAGAATTAAATCGTGGGAAATGTTGTTATGGGATGTTATGGAAGTTAGAATGCAAATGAATTAAAAAATGGCATAGATTACACATGTAACAGAACCGGAAATCAGTGTAGAGGTGTGATTATGAGTCTAAGAAATATTGCACTGCTAATTGACAGTAAGTGGGAAAGTACACCAGAGGAAGTATCATGCTATGATTCCCTGATTTTACATATTTATTGCCCAAGAATCTAATACTTGTTTCTACCAGTCATAGTAATTGTACTAAATGGAATTTTTTTCTTATCTAGTGAGGCTATTCCTACTCTGGTGGTTATGCATCAACCAAGAAGTAACTTAATCTTCTGAAATCAATCAGCTTGGATAAATTAGTTTGTCCATACCTAATACTATTGAGTATACAAAAAAGACCCAAACCAGGTCAATGCCCCCCTCGCTATAAAACCATCAATACACAAGAAATCTGGAAATAGATATTACTTCTTAACACTCACTTTTTTCATACATTTCATTTTTTTTCTCCAGATAGCTCTGTAACTTCTTCACTACCAGGTCTAAATGAATAAATCTCAATTTAGCAGAGTAAACCTTCCTTTTACAATAATGACCATCCAGCACCAGTGTGCCTTCTTGCATTGAATTCAACATATTCTCAGTTTCCAAACTCAATTTGATGTGATAAAATAAGTTTAGCTTCAATATACCAACTGTGTCTCAAAACTACCAACTATTGTGCATGTTCCAATAGATACAGAGCCATTCAAACCAGGTCTCAGCTGGTTGTTAAAGGAACTGAGACTGTAATTTTAAACACAAAGTCTCTCACATAAGCAGCTGTAAAATACATGCTTCTACATACAGAAAAGATTTTCAGTGCTATGAAACTTAACAATGGAAAACTTGATACATGATGAAGACTTTCACAGTCTTCAAAGCCATTGTAGCTGGTTAACAGTGTTCTGTGCTACTCTAGGTCTGTAAACAATGATTTGTATATTTGGATAGATAGTGGTAAAATAACCAGATATGTATCTGAATAAAGCAGGTCAGAATATGGCATTTTAATACTGTGAGAAATTTTAAGATTCATAAAAATACATTTGGTCTCAAATAAGAATAAAAAGTCACAGTTTCAAATATTTTCATAAACTATCTGTGATTAAATTTTCTATGCATTATATTTTAATTTCTTTTAACATAAAACCAGTTTTGTGTGTAAGGTCTTTTGAAATTAAAAGTTAAAATTTCTGAAGCAGTTATGATACCTGTTTTACTTGCAATTGCAATGGAGCATGCACAGTCAGTTGGCACATACCTGTTGAGGAGGATTAACTTCCAAGTGAGGAGTGTAAATTCTAACTACAAGCTAACTTCTCATTATGTTGTTTTTGTTTTTTTTTTTTTTTTCCCCAAATATTAATAATTTCATATAAAGCTAGTGATTTCTAATCTTTTGAAGGTATAATTGGCCTCATCTGTTCAGAGTACCACAATGAAAATATGAAGATTTCAGACTAAGAAATAGCATTAAAAATGTTTAGTTAACTACATAAATTTATAGCATTTCCTTTAAATCCCATATCCAAGTAATATTTTTACTTTAAAGACTTCAGTCAGAAATTAAGTCTTCATCACTCAAACTGTAATATTTCTGAGGTGTGCAGAGAATTGCTTCAGAATTTTTGTAGTCTCCTGAATACAATTTGCTTTTGCAACTTAGAAGTCCAAATAAAAAGTGTTTCTCCTTTTAGCTGGCTTACAAAAGTCAACAAAACTGTTTTCAAAGATACAAGATGGAAATGGTATTTCGGGATATATAACATTTCTCTATTTTTATCCACTTCTCTCTTTCACTCAAATGAAAATGTATCTAATTTATTTTTATTGTACTAGCTAAAGGACAACCCCTAGGCATATACAGCAATGGATAAATAAAAAAAAATATATATATATTTTTAATAATGCATTTTTTACTAGAACTAAAAAATGTTGAAGCATGAAGTATCATATATCATTCATGTGCACAGTATAATATGTAAAATTCTGCTAGCACTCATACACTGACCATGGGTAACTGATCAACAATGGAATGGTGTAGACTAGGTATTGTTTAAAAGATCTGTATCTCCATGTGACTCAGATTTCTTCTGTTTTAGTAATTATAGATGTTTTTGTTAAAGCTAAACTGATACATGTTGTTTTCTTTTCAAAGAAATAAAACTTCATTAAGCTTTTTCCCCCTGAAAAGGCTCACATTGGGAATCAATATGTGTGCAGTACGAGGACATATTTAGAGTTTCAGTAATGGAGATGATTCTTTAGAATTCAGATGACATATACAGCAGCTTGTCTGCACTAACGTGTAGCCACTAGAATCAAATGTAGGGCTGAAAGAAGATCTTACTGAGGAAAAGCTGATATGACATCACCTCAGGTATGAAAGCTGGATAAAAGTTACCACACAAAGCCATATTAAGGCCTTATATAAAATACTGCATACCTTTCTGGACATTCACCCAAAGAAAATGCTTTCAAATTGGAACAGATGACTAACACTGGGATAAAGGAGGGGCAAAGAACAGCCCATCTTGCAGGAGAAGGGGAAGACAATGGCTGGCTTAGTTACTCTGAGGAAAAGGTGGAGGACGACAGTGGAGGGAACCAAGAGGCAACAACACCGTTACCTAACTATAAAGAAGAGTAAATGATAGATGAAATTTAGAAAACTTTTGCTGTTCAAGATATTCAGAAACTACTTTAAGATCAATCAAGCTAAGCTAAAGGTGACAAAATCACCAGTGGAGGATTTCACTCTATTGCTTCATATATTATTAATCTTTATAAAAGCATCCTGGGCTACAGTCTGAAAAGCAAAATGGAAATATAGTCATATCCTAGTGCAATTTTCATCAAGCTTTATCACAGAAAGTTGTAATGCTCAATGAACCTTCTTAAAATAATTGGTAACGACTTAAATTGTATCAAAATGCCTCAAGTCAACTATCTAATAAATATTTTTCTGTGATAGTCAATATTATAGAGCAAATGCACATTATTCAGATTACATATGGCCCATCACACACTAATTAGTAAATCATAAACTAATTATGCAGTAAATAATGACATACCTACTTCCCTCAGTCTTTGGGAAGAAATTTGGTGAATCTTTTCACTCACTTTGGCAACAAGGATGGCTTAAAAACCATCAGTTCCATTAAAAGGGCTTCAGAAAAGACTCTTGTGATTGTTCCTTAACTGTCAGACTCTGCCAAGCTTCAAAAGAATGGCTAGGAATATGTGCTTCTTTTTTAAAAAACAAACAAACAAACAAAACCCCCTCTAAAAACCTCAAGATAAGTCACTGTCTCTCTTGTCAAAGATGCTGGTCTGCCTGCATGCTAAATCTGCACGTTGCTGATCTTTGTGAATTTATTTTTGTTGTTGCCAAAAGAAATGTTTCAACAGCAGCTGCTTTTCCAAAAGAAGTAGCTCTGAACAAGCAAAGAAATCTGTTTGTGAGGTCTACATAGCATTGGTTTACAAGAAATCCAATTACAAGAAGTGTACAAATCCATTAAGTTGGACTCATTTGTAGTTAGGTCTCCCTGTAGAAGCAGGGCTTGCTGAGTGGAGAGAGTGAAGAAAGAGCACTTTAGAGCAAGGTATTAATTTTGACTGTATTAATAAATAATGTGGAGGGAGTATTATATTGCAGCAACAAGAAGGGAGTCGGAACACGTTAACTTTGGGAGCATCCCCTCTGTACAGCACCCTCCAGAATCATGGGATGGCCACCCCTTCTTCCCATGTGAGCATGCTGTGACAGGTTGTAAAACCAAGTATCTGTGCACATGAAGATGCCCTCAGAGATCGCTCTTCACTGACAAAATTGACAGCAACAAACTTGTTACTTCCTGCCATCTAGTGGGACTCAATGCTCTGCACTCATGACAATAAGTTTATTGTGAACCATGCAAAATAAACTGAGAATCACACAAAATTAAGCATTTGCACATAGTAGTATTTTGATCACGCAAGGTCACCAACGTAAGAGTAAAGACTATTCCAAAGGTGAATCTCAAGGAAAAAAATCTCCACAACTTTTAACTACATTTAAAGTATTCAAAGGAAAGAAACAGATTATCTTCCTGAATTATTATCAAATTCAAATTTGGTCATGTGAAAGAAAATACGTATAAATGAGATCTCCATTTCTGTTACCTTTGCAATGGTCTCGTGCAGGCTGAAGGAGGGATCCAGCTCTTCAGTTTTTGTTGTATGTACAGGAAAAAGAGCTTCGGAGAGAAAACTAGAATTCTGTGAGAAAGAAATAAGAAGCCTTTTAGGATTCCAAATTTATTTCCTCCTGTAAATGTTTATTGGATTTTGTTCAGAGATTGAAAAAACCCTTCAAATTGTTCTTAAGTTTTGCCAATTATTAGAACTTATTTCACTGATCTAATTAACTGATTCCAAGTCCCCAAAAGAGGCAAAAAACACTAAGTCTTACGACTTTATTTCTGGAATAGTAGTTGTCTTTTTAATTATGCTTCCCAAAGCAGCCAAAAATTTAGCCTAGAGGAAGAAAAAATATCCATATAGATTTCATTCTGAGCTAGGCAGCAATCAGAGATTTTATTAAAGATGTTATGATTTATTCTTCAGAAGAAAGGTAAACACGATAATCAAAGAATATACTTTCAACTCCTGCAAACAATTCTACCTCTGTATACAGTAATACCATCTACATAATACAGGTTTTTGGTCAATTCCCTAGAATTATATCCTTTAGGTTGACCACTCTTTTTAACACCAAGCAATCTTAATATATAATTTGTACAAGATGTTTGTCTTTTCTTGTACTATAAGAAAGCAAGAAATTAGGTTGCATATTTGCTGTCACAAGGAAATATCAAACTGATACCTAGGTGTGGACTGAAAAAAAGCAAAACTATACAAAACAAAACTTTGAGCTTCAAAGGTACACAGATTCCTAAACCAGGAATTATGTAAACCTATATTCTTGAACCTGGTAATCCAGATACTAACCTGAAAAGAAAAATCTTTCTCTACACCTCTGTAACTCCCAAGACATACATCCTAAAATTATTCTTGCTTTTGTAGAGTGCCTCCAGTTTTGCTCTTTAGGCATGACCTAAACTGTGCCTCTTGGAACAGCTAAGAACCTAATGCCCATCTAATTCCCCACCTAGTATAAAAATAGGTGTAGAGGTGCACCTTGATGAACTTGAGATGCTCAATTTGGTAAGCACACTTTGAATACACTCACTGTTCACCAACAACAATGAATTCAGTATAAAAGCAGAGAAACTACGGTCAAAGTTATTTCAGAGATCATCAGGAGGATGTGACTGAGTCAGTATCATGACATTCTAAAATGTACTAGCTATGAGTAATTCTTTTATACATACTCTTCAAAGCGAAGTCTGACACAAAGAACCAGAGACAAGTCCACTGTATTTACCTATGTCTTGAAGAGGAGCAAAACTTCACCCTCTGTCAAACTCTGGTTAGCTCTAGGCAACTAAGTTCAGCATCACATTACTTTGTATCTCCTTTTGGAAGGTCTTATTCTGGTTTTGATTTTAATTTTGGAAGCCACCACCTAAATGTATTATTATGTTTAGTCAGAATATCTCAAAGTCCTTTATTGTATTTCGTATTTAGTGTACAATGCACTGTGTGCCACGTAGAATCACATACAGGCTTTCCAGAGAGATCGATGGCAGACTGTACAAGCCTCTCATTAACATATTTCCTTGTAGCATTTATTTGCATCTGAGTGCTGGGAAACTAGCCTTGTCCTTTGTTTGACAGCCCTGTCAGACTCTCTTGGGAAGCATTCAGTTTCAAATTAAGTTAGGCTAGTCCTAGAACTAACAATTTCCATGTGTCAGTTTTTTTTTCTGGAGAGGGACAGTAAAAAGAATTTAAGAAAAAGTATCCATTAAGAAAGGTTAAGCAGAGGAGGAGTGTGACTTGTGAGATGAATATATTTTGCCACATTCATAACCATACTGTTTTATATATGCTAGTTCTGGAGCTTTACATAGGACCCAATAAGAGAGTACCTAAATTTTGAGTGCAGTTTTTATGTTCTATGAATTTACGTATAAAATAGTACTAGCAGCAATAAGAAGCTGGCGATATCTGTGGATCAAAAATGCTTAAAACATCATGAGATTCTACTATGAGTATAACTCTATGAAAATAATTTTGAAAAAAGTTATTTTCAAATATAGAGTCCTTTCAGATTGAATTTCAAATAAAATTAACAGAAGCTCATGGTCCTGTATTTAAGATAAATAACTTTTCTGGTTTACATTCTTTCCCAGGCTGTGAGGCAACACTGACAATGTTGGAAGCATGCCTTTTTCAAATACCACTTTCCCATAGCTACTAGACTAACATTTCTTTGGTTTCCTCCTCTTGATATGCACTGATCTTCAGTAGCTTCTGTCCTTATTCTTCAAATAAGTATGAGAATACTCATACTCTGTACTCACAAGAAATGAAGCCCCTTTTTAGGGGCATTAAATCTGGTAATGATGCCCAGCAAATTTTTCAATGGCCATAAAGTTATTTGCACTCAGAGACTGCATGCTGAGCAGTGGCCAAATAATAGCTTTGGCTAAAAAATATTAAAACTGATCCCAGCTTTAACAGGATTGATTAGTAAGGTTGGCACTCCACTACCTTTTCAGTTGCTAAAAACACTCTGTAGGGTTTATTGTTTTAAACCTCAGGAAGTGAGCAAATGAGAGACAAACAATTTAGATGCTTTGTTCTGGCTTGTGCAATCTCCTTTTATGTGACTGAGCTTTGCTCTTTCCCATGCTGGGTTCTAAGCCATACAAACACCGAAATAAAATAACACTTTAGCTGAAAGAGCTGTTAACGTCAATTCAAACAAAAGAATTTAAAAAGAAGCAGAGAAAAAAATCCTACCCTCTTCCTTGAAACAAATAATGTAATGTATCTTACTCATGTACCCCTGGGGGATAAAATGGTGGTATCTGATATATGCCTGCTGAATGGGAATTATGTTTGTAGGACACAATGCAGTACATCCCATGGATCCAAGAGCTGGTTCTTAATTGGGCACAGCACTGTTAGCTCTCTTCTGGAAGAAGCATGGTCCACAAATGCATTATATTCATACCAGTGACGTGATACAACAATATGCTCTACTCAAAACCCCTCAACTTAGGTGGAGTCCCTACGGATGCTCAATACACCTCCTGAGCTAGTACATTTACAGCTAAATTAAGCTTCTTTGAACAGTGTGACATGTCTCATAGACATGTTCAAGAAAACTCAGTGAAAGTTATGTCTCAAAAAGGTATGTTACATTGCTGGTAATTTTACTTCTTATTTTTTTCTACAAATTAATATCTCCATGATCAATATTCTGTCAGTATTTCCATACATTTCTAGAAGACTGTTTCTAGTAGTAAGCTCCCAACGCTTTCTTAAAAAAATAAAAAATATAATTAGCACCAACTCATACAAATTTTTGTGTTCAGTGATGCATCTCTGTGTTGTATAATTTGTCACAGAAGTATCAGAATAATAAATGAAGTCGTCGTTCCCTTCAGAAAACTATCTTTTTTTTCTTTTTTTCAATCTCAGGGAGAAGAAGCACAAAGTCATTCTTTATAAAGACAAAATACATACTTCAAGATTAATTTATAACACCTATTCATCTTTGTTTTAAGTTTGTGCACTAGTTTACAGAGCCATGTCACTTGACTGGAGGGAAGTTGAGGAACAATATCATTCTGCTACTGTGGTGCTAATGCATCATCATTCATATAATTGCAATCAAGAATTTAGAAAGAATTACATTATTTATATTCATTCTTGAGTACCTCATTGAGAGGCAGAGAAGAGAATGATTACTGAATTAATTTGCTACACAAGATCAGATTATCGCTCCATCTAGACACATATTCTTTCTCTGGAATCTAAGACTTGATGGATCAGATGTCGGCAAAGCAGGGAAACACTGCTTAACCTGCTTTTATCCCACCCTATTCGAGACATACACCTACAGAGCACAGGTTAGGATTGTAGTCATCCTACACTCATCCCACATTCAATGGTGAGAGATACAAACACTGAAAATATGCATCCATACCCATTCTCTGAATCTAGGTTCCTTCATAGAGCAGAAGCTCTTGCTCCTCTTACACAAGTTAAATGGAAAGAAATACTAGGTTGTAAATGTTAGAATTACACAAGTGAGTGGTGTCACTGAACCCCAACCCAGCTAGAGCTCTGATGTAGATCAGTCCTGGTGTTTTCCTGGAGGCAAACATCTGAAAATAAAAATAATATTTTTCTTTAAAATTAGCTTTTATGAGAAGAGAATCCAGGACAACAGCCTTTGTTAAAAAGCAAAAGTGTAACAAAAGAAAAAACACTCTGTAAATAACTTTCTCCCACTGTTTCTTTGCACAAGGAATCATCATCTTCAGGTTCTTCCTCAGCCCAGCAACCCTTCGGTGACCTTCCACTTTGCAACAAACTCAGCACAGTCCCTGCTACGATACCCAGAAGAGGCTTTTTTTTCCTACCTGTCTTGAGGTCAGACTATGAATATGCTCTTATCAGTCCCTTCTGTAGTGAAACATTTGGGGGTCTTTTTGATTTTTATTACTGTCCTCCTCTTACACCAGTCCAGTTGCTCTCTCCTTTCTTTGCCACATCTACACTCTGGAAAACTCTCTGAGATTACTCTGGCCAGAAAATATAATCTTTCCTATGGAATGCACATTGACTACCATTTTATGTATTTGTACTTATTTACAGAAAATATCTATTATTTTTTGTGTGTGCATAGACAGATAATATGTACAAATAGTTAATAATCCCAGATTACTATCTGAAATAAGTTGCTGACATCTGAAATATCTTGTTCTACATTTATCAAGTGAAATATTCAAAACAGTTGTTGAGTTTTGTGGTTTTTGTTTTTTTTTTTTTTGTTTGGGGTTTGGTTTTTTTTTTCCATAAAAGACACCTCCCTAAAGAACTACTATGAAGGCAAATGTATTCTGTTTCTCCTGCCTTTTCCTGTCTTTCAAGCACTATGCCCATCAGAGAAAGCTGCGTGAACTTTCCAAGTAACAGAAGCCCATTCTTTACCCCAGGGAGCACATGGAAGAGATATGAGTCTAGCTGATGTTTCAGGAGTACCTCTCAGCATTTAACAGCAAGAGCACCACTTTCCAACAGCAAGAAACTGAATCGAACTCCTCATTTATGCTTGCAGCAAGCTCACAATAACAAGT